TTACGTTTTTGAGAACGAATTATAATGACCAATGTATCATTCTATAAAGCAGTTAAGAATAAATTTGGTTTACACGAACATACATTAATCTTTGCATGGTGTATGTTTCCAATATACACGGAAATTTTTTTTTTTCCATTTTCATGGCAACACAAAGTGTACATGACGAATAAGACAGGAAACAAATTTAGAACTAAAATCAGCTGGCCTTTTGCAAACCGATTATTATCTCTTAAATGCTAATGAGGCATGGCGGAATTATTGATAGCGGCTCGGGTTGAAACATTGAAGTGCCCAGTTCGAATTCTAGTCGAGTTCGCTAAGTTCACCTACGTGCAAATATCCCGGGGAAAGATATCTCTTCTTCCTCCTCAGTTACGGGTAAATGGCAGGCAAAGTGTGTCCTTGGGTGTCAACTGACAATAGAACAACTCTAAATCCAAAACCTCCAACTAACGGTAAATGGCAGGACAGAGTGGGTCCATGTGTGACAACCGACAATAGGACAACTCAGAATTCAAATCCTCCAACTAAGGGTAAATGACAGGATATAGTGGTTCCTTGGGTGTCAACCGACAAGAGAACAATTCAGAATTCAAAATCTTAAACTATGGGTTAAATAGCATCATTAGGCCGCAATTAGCCAAGTGCCGTTAGTTTAGGCGAGACCCCTGAAAGACATGGTCAATCAGGTTCCTCCAAAGTAGTGAGAAAGCTCTTGCTTCTGGATCTCAAAAATGTATCGAAGTGATAAGTGTCAACAAGTCATTGCAAAAGAACGCGGAATATATAATTGAAAAAAAGATAATTGTACTTTATATTTTGAAGAATAAAGTTGATAAACACAAACGGAAATTATTCATAATAACAGTGTCGTAAACTGCTAAGTCCCTAAGTGATAGGAAGTAAAAAAAGATGGAAGAAAAATACGCTAATTAACCCAAGATGGTCCTCCGAAAGATATCGTTTTTAGCATTTCCCATAAATAGTATATTTATCATTTCAATTCATCCTTATATTAGGACGAATAAGATATATTTAAGGGTCGTTGTATTCTTCTTGGTACAAGAACTAACATTTTTGTAGACAAAAAAAAGAAAAGTTTTTGAAAATTTCTTTTTCTATGTTTATTCTAATTTGCAGCCGATTCTCTAAAACTGTTCATAGAACTGTTTTGGAACGTCTGGGTAAATATCCTCGAATATCTTCATCGTAGACAGCAATACGGCCGATATAAATATGTCATTCTCTGGGGGAGCTCTCAGTAACATTTGCAGAAAGCGACAATAAATTACAGTGAAAAGAAAGCCCTACCAATTCCACTAATTTTCTCCTTTACACAGCATGGACTTTATTAAGTTCAGTCCAGGGAGACCACACACTCAACGAAGTACGCCTCCCAAGAGTTAATCCTTAGCATTTGTATCGTTCCATTAGGAAAATGAGGTTGGGCTCAATAAGTTTTGTAATTAATCTTATATACACGAGGGATCCTCATTTTAAACTCGAGTTTATTCAACATTCCCTTTCGGTAAACGTACAGATATATCCCAAGATGTATTGGGTACGTTTTAGCCTCAAAGAATTGATTAGTATCAGAGAATGGACAAGCGACATCAAGTCTCCAAACTAAAAAGTTCCAAGCATTAACTGGCCATGTATGCCATTCTGCTAGTGCAGATAGTCAATCCCTGGTGCTGACGCATGCACAGGCACATTTTTTTTTTATTCAAAACCCACAGAGCCCAGACTACAAATTTACAGAGCGGGAATTTTTACACTTTTGATTGAGAGTGAGCGCACTATCTGGTACGATCAACGATTTGATAAAGGCCAATACGTTTAAACCTTCGGTCACGATGACTTGTGACTTCGTGCTAGCAGAATCATCGACGACTACTCTCCCCAGTGTTACTTACAATGCTTGTGTTAACTCATGGCATCGTTTTCAGGCACTTTCCAAATGTTCCGTACTTTGGGATCGCCTCCAAAGAACAATACCATCAAGAAGTTACCTACCTGACCATGATGAAATTCGGACCCGGGTCTCATGCTCGGAAAGCGATCATTCTAACCAATCTAAACATAATGCGTCTGTATACCAAATCGCAAATACCTGATCATGTGCAATACAAAAACGGTACTGTATTAATCGAACTCAGTGAAGTCAAGGACAAAAAAAATCTAGAAGAATGATGAAAATTAAGTTCACATTGTGTTATGGTTAACAAGCTTGTTTCGGTAGATTAATTACGACTGGTTAGCGAATTCGATGATCACTCGTTGCTGCACAATTCCTCCCTTCTGTTACATCTAAGCTACGTTTAGATAATCATTAAGTCACTTAGACGTGGTATAATTGTCAGCAAGTTTATCTCGCTAGATCAGTTACGACTGAGTAGCGAGTTCGAGCTTCACTGGGTGCTACACACCTTTAGATTTCTGACACATCTAGGCCACGTTTAGAAAATCATTAATCATGTCAATGTAGTGTAATAGTTAGGTCGATGAATTACGACTGGGTAGTGAGATCGATTCTCACTGGTTGCTTCACATTTTCGGCCCTGTGCCACATCTAAGCTCCGCATAGTAAAACTTTAAGACATTTCATCGTGGTGTAATGGTTAGCAAGCTTGTTTCTTCTGGATCACTTACGTCTGTGTTGAGAGTTCGATCCTCACCGGGTCTCTGTAAACTTTTTGCCTTCTGCAAAAAATCCCGTACTTGTGTATTTCATACTTTAGAACTGGTGCCACAACTTGGTTACGTTTAGCAAATGTTGATGGAACGTTTAGCCGTGGAGTAATGGTTAGCAAACTTGTCTCGTTAGATCAGTTACGATTAACTAGTGAGTTTGAGTACATGATAAATGTTGGACGATTTCTTCAAAGATAAAGAAGAGACTTGAAGTGAGAGAGATGTGGTTCTACAGAAGGATGCTAAGGATATCATGAACCGAACGTGTAAACAACGATGATGTCTTAGAGCGGATAACAAAAAAGGAGGAGGCTTATACTTAACATCAGGAAAAGGCAGCCGAAGTTCCTGTGACAAATAATGAGGAAGGAAGGCCTGGAGAATCTGATACTCAGGGGTCGAATAGTAGGAAAGAGAGACAAGGGAAAAAACCCCGTGACATTCTTGGCGAACTTATGCAAAAGGATGACAGAACAGGGTTTCGGGGAAGTGACGCAGGTAAGGATCTTGTTGAGAGCTGCAAGGGATAGAGGGAGATGGATAGCCATGATCGCCTAAGTCCTGAAAGAGCACGGAACATAGAAAGAAAGATAAAGTGAGTTTGATCCATACTTACGGTCGTGTGCCACATCTAAGCTACGCCTAATACATCGCTAAATAAGTACAAGGCATGGATAACGAAAAAACGAAAAGAATATAGCCATTCTGAAGGTTACCAGGATAAACAGAGACTTTATGAAATCCGGGGCTGAGGAGAGAACGGTTGAAACGTTATGATATATACAATAAAGATGAGGATATCAGTCGAATATAAATAATGTAAATGACTCACCCGATAGATTCTGAAATTATTTCGGAAATCTTTGTCAGTGAAAAAATTACGGGCAAGAATGCCTTTCCTCTTTGGACAACACAAAGAATACATTTACTCCGGTCTTGTTCATTTTGGCTTCAGAATTCAGAGGAGGTTAAAGTTGAAACGGATTTCAGTTCACCTGGAATCAAAATCTGCGCCAAATGCAGAGCAAGCAGTCCGCTTCTTCAACGTTCAAATCTGCCTTCAAAATTCGCAAAATTATATAAATATTCATTTTTTGTGGGCAGCAAGCAACATGGACACAGTTCGCATTGAAATGTTAGGAAAAACCTAGAATGCAACTTGCACGATTTCCAATACAACGAACATCCATCAAGTGTGGTGTGCATCTTCTATCGGGGAGAAACTCCAGCTGCAATTTGGCGATTGTGCATAAGTCATTTTATTTCCTTATCTACATTGATGCTTACAAGCATGGATTCTTATCTGCATATAATTTCTCCTTGGGGATCTGGCAATCAACATATATTACGCTATTCAAATCTATCTGCATATGTCTATAGTTTCGTTACGATGGCATATTCAACTGTTTTTCTTGCATATGTCCTAAAGAGTGCTACTTTCTCTTAGTCTTTTTCTCTCTTTATACATATCTGTTCTCATGTCAGTCTGGATATGCATCTGATATTCTATTGACAATATATTTATTTATCTATCATATTTTGAATTCTATCACAGTTTCCGCCTTTTTATCTATTACTTCTTTTTCTATTTATTTTTTTTACCTATAATTCTTTAGTTCTATACCAATTTATTGTTTACTATTCATCATGTAAATCTATATGTAATAATCTCTTATTTTCGTCCTATCTATCTATCTATCTATCTATCTATCTATCTATCTATCTCGGTTCCTTTTTATATCTACCTTTCTGTCTATCCATAGCAATTTGTTTACTATTAGGGTCTGTTAATATCTATCTATCTATCTATCTATCTATCTATCTATCTATCTATCTATCTATCTAGCTAGCTAGCTAGCTAGCTAGCTAGCTCATTTTGTTCCATTTCTATGTATCTATATGTTTATATATTTATCCATCTTTTTTTATTTTATCATAATATCTTGTTTTCACTCTCACTTTTCTCACTTTATCTCGCAATCTGTTTACTATTTAGTTCTTTTTTAATATATATATATATATATATATATATATATATATATATATATATATATATATATCATCGTGTATTTTTTTTCTTTCTTCCTATCTATCACGTTATCTTCTTTTTCTGTCTCTCGTTTCTGTATCTCTTTTTTCTTCGTTAACAGAATTTTTTATCGTTCTATCTATCTATCTATCTATCTATCTATCTATCTATCTATCTATCTATCTATCTATGACAATGTTTGGTTCACTCTCTCTATGTTAGTCCCTCTATCTTTTTTCCCAATTTTTCGCTCTATTTTAATTTTCTCTATCTTATGATTTTCTCACAATTTCTTCTTGTCCGTCTGCCTCTCTACCCCTCCCCATCTATCTATCTATCTATCTATCTATCTATCTATCTATCTATCTATCTATCTATCACTTCTGTAACTAATTCCCTGCTTATCATATGCACTGAATATTACTGCGAATCTATTCGTCAATAAAATACAATTGTTCAGATGAACTTTAGGATATGCCGTGGTGTAGTGACATTTACATAAATGCATCCAATTTTACTCATGCAATTGCCGTCCATTCAACCATTGCATAAAACGAACATTAAAAGAACCATACCAGCAACAGCAACATATTTTTTAATCAACCCCTCGCGGCATTTACGAGAGGACAACGAGTCTTTGCACGTTAATGCATGTATTTGACTCCATGGACAATTTTTTTCAATTATGTTGCATCACACTTTTCTTTTAGCTGCATTCGTTCCTACCAAAGTGACGATTTTCTCTGGTTCGCGGATTCAAAACATAAAAGATCGGCATTTTCCTTATTTATCTGGTTATTAAAACAATTCTCTGCCCTGTGATTACTGTATTATTATTATTATTATTATTATTATTATTATACTTGTTCAGTTATCTGTTTTTTTTGTTTGTTTTTTTTTTTTGCTGCTATGGGGACTGATGTTTCTCAATAGAAGTCAAGTGACATCAATTCTCAAATTTATTGCTGTTTTGAGAATTCTGTGATTTCGATTGTTGCCCCTGATATCCAATTCTAATGTTTATTAACGCATTGTTGAACATCATGTGCCGGCAATCCCTGCTTATATCCAGGACTCTCCTCAGTATGCTGGCTGATTTAGTAATTTCAATGATTTATTGTATTTAAAATTATATCCAATTCTAACTTTTTTTTTTTCAAAACGTTTTTGGAAGATTATGTGACAGCAAGTCCTGCAACAAGCAAGAACGTTCCTCGGTTTGCTACGTGAATCAATGATGCTGATTTTACGATGGTTTCTGTTATTTTCCTTATATACAATTCTAGTCTTTACTTAACCTACAGTCATTTTCCGAGTGACTGTATCTTCTGTAGGGACTGCAAAGATTTTCTGTGCCTTTTCTATAACTATTTCAAAGGTAACTGTCCCGATGAGTTTTCCACATTGGTCCATCGAATATACGAATCTGAGCGCCATGCTAGATTGGCAGTTAGGTCCTAAAATTTTAATTTTGAAATGGCTAGATGTGATCATATGTTCTATGCTAAGCGTTTCTTTTATCGCACCTCTCTGGTAGGACTCTCTTCCAGCTTATTGCTTCCTAGTAAAGTTTGATCTTCAAAAACTTAAATGCAATGACAATCGTCATCTGTTTTTTAAATCCTGTCCTTCTATTGTCGTCTTTCCTTAATAATTTTTTATCAATTTCATTCTCGGCAGCCCCTTGCGTCATAGGGACTTTATCGTCTTAATTAGAGTGAAATGATATATATAAAAAAAGCCTTTTTGGCAAACTATGTACCAATAAGTCACTGCAAATATCTAGGAATCTCATTATTCTGGTTGATTTATTGAGGCGTTTAATTTTTCCTCTTAACACAGAATTCTTTTAATCTTTATGTAAGACATTTTGGCACTATTCTAACATGTAATACTAACGAATTGCTCTTTTATATGCCAATATTTTTAAAGTTCTGCTGAAACTTTAGCTTTTTAGACAGCAATGTATCTAATATTAAAAGATCCTTCTTAATATTTTTGTTGTCTTTTCGATAGTTTCGAAGTGAGGTGGGACGGGTTGAGTGTTTTTAATATCCGTTCGCATATATGCCATTATTAGAGAGAATGAATTGCACGGTTTGACACTTACACCAATTTGCTTGTTCGTTTAAAAAAATAGCGCTCTTTTTGACCGAGTGCATATGGTTAATAAAAACAGAGTTTTGTGCAATAATCGGAAACATGGCTTTCTTTGGAGCGACGAACTTGCTTCTCTAAAATCAAATCAAAGATCATTTTGTACATTTACTGGTGCTGTAATGAGGAATTTCATTTTTGCCGCTTCAAACATGGTCAGATCATTACGACAGTGTCCTATTTTCTTGTGATTTAGAACAGGCAGATTCAAATCTGTAAATATATTTTTCAAGAGTGGTTGCAAAAAGAAAAATAAGTAAGAAGCCAAAATATCCGGACTAACCTGATGTATATATGCATGAAGATCCTGTCCTACCTTCCCTCGTCATTAGATCTGTTCTTTGCTGATTACCATTCTTTTCTGGCTTTAAATTGCTATTCGCATGAGGTGTAGAAAAATTCGCTCTTTGTCAAGAATTCCTTCCACAATATTGTCCACTCACATAATCTCAGTGATGGATAGTTGGTTGCTTTCATTTTTTTTTCTTTTTACAGTTTATCAAACCTTTGCGGGTGATTTGAAGCCGAAACACATTTCGTATTGTGAGAAAAAAAAAGCACGCATTTTTCAAGCATTCTCCCGTCTAAATAGTCATCAGGTTTGACGCTGTTTAATATCGATGATAGTTTTCGGAGTGATTAGACCGTAGCACCCACATCAGTGACAGAAGAAATTCAATGCTAATATGGTGTCAATTCTAAATTGGTTTCTTTACTTTCTTTCATGTGCCGTGTCCCTTCAGAACGTAGGCGATCATGGCTCTCCACATCCTCCTATCCCTTTAAGTTCTCAATATGTTTTGTCCTTTTGCCACTTCTCCCGAACAATGTTCTGTCATCCACTTGCTTCAGCTCGCTAAGTATGTCACGCGTTGCTTTCCCTTGTCTCTCTTTCCCTCTATCCCCACTGTGAGTATCAGATTCTCCAAGCCCTCCTTTCTCATTGCGTGTCCCAGAAATTTCAGCTGCCTCTTCCTGTTGTTACGTATATTAATTTTCCAAGCATAGCTTAGATGTGGCACAAGTCCGAAAGTAGGGGGCACCCTGTGAGAATCGAACTCACTACTCAGTCGCAATTGTTCTAGCGAGACAAGCTTGCTAACCATTACACCACCTCGAGTGCCCCTCCTGTTGTTACGTATAAGCTTCCGTATTGTTTGCATCCACTCCAAAACCTCATCGTTTCTCCCACTCTCTCTCCATGATATCTTTAGCATCCTTCTCTAGAACCATAACCCCGTTGCCTCGAATCTCTTATTCCTCTTAGAGGAGACCGTCGAACATTTGTTGCCGTAAACGAGGACAGGTAGCACGTAGCAATTCAGTACTGTTTGTTGCCAACGAAATCCCCCTGTCACGTAATACTCTGCTTAGCATTTGAAATGCATCCTTGGCCAGCTCAATACGTTTTCTGATCTCAATGTCGCACTTTACCGTCCTCAGTCAGAACACTACCCAGATATTTAAATTTCTGCCCCTGCTAGATTTTAGTGTCCCTGATCTGGAAATTGCCTTTCGGGCTCATCTTTTTACTGGTGACCATTCAATCTGTCTTGCAGTTTATGCTTAGTCCTTTCTTCCTTGACTATTCTTCTCTACCTTCTGTACGAGATTTTGTAATTTCCTTTCCGTGTCTGTTACCAGCACTGTAACATCCGCCAAAGATGAATCCTGGTAGGATTTCCAGTTCTCTTAGAATCGCCTCGCTGTATAGGTTGAAAAAGTTCTTTGATAACACACTTTGTTTACTTGGGTTAAAAAAAATATTGTTTGAATCCAATTATGACATTTTCGAGTTTGTGGTTCAAAAGAGCCGTTTATTATTTCTCAAGTCCGGTGAAATACAAAATTACAATTATGTATTATGGAATTTTTCTTCTGTCTTCTACTCAGACATAACTTAAAACAAAATATTTCACACAAAAGATTTTTTGAATTGGATATGACGTATCTATAGTGGACTAAAAAGACTTCTGAATATTGTCAGATCTTTGAGACGGAGCAATAATTCATCCCCACGGCAAGAAACGCCATCATCATGATGGTTTCATGATACGACACCACTGAAATGGAATTGCAATTTCCTATATGGCACTCGTGTAATTGGAGATACCAAAATCAAACATGTACAATAATTTAAATATCCGGGAATTGTTTTAACATAAGATAAAAAGTGCGACACTGAAATCCGAAGGCACACTGGGATATGAAAATATGCCATCCAAAAGTTAGGCTAATATTAAGAAGAAAAATTTCGTTGAAATGTTACCTAATATCAGTCCTCCTCTATAGCAGTGACTGATGAAAAGAATAATGAATTGTTTTGTTTTCAGATCTGCTATATGAATGAGATGAAGACGAAAGTTGAATCAATAGAAATGTGATTTGACAGAAGGATGCAGAGAACAACGACTTCTTAGAGAAACACATATACATAAAATTAGAATGAGAGAGTTGACATTTCCTGGCCTCATAATGAAAAAAAAAAGGCTTAGAAAATCTGATACTCACAAGGCAGATTAAAGGTAAGTGGGATAGAGGATAACAGAACATAACCTACCTAGCGAGATTGAATAAGGTTTAGAAGAGATACCAAAAAGAGATAATTTATTAAAAGCGTTAAAAAACAAGAAATTGTGGAGGGCCATGATCGCAAACGCCCTGAAGGAATTTCTATGAAGAAGAAGAAAAAAATAGAATAATTCATCGATTTCACTCAGATATTTTCCTGTAAGAACCGATGAAAACGAACTAGAATATAGTACTAATAGTGCACGGTGAAGTAATGGATAGCGGCTCAGATTGGGGAATCGGAGAGCCGAGTTCGAATTCCAGTCGAATCCATTATATTCACTTACGTGCTAATACCTTTGGGAAAGATATGAATCCTCTTCTTCTCCCAGGTTCTACTTACTTGGACGGCAATTGGTTTACCGCAGAAAGAAATGGCAATCTACTGCGGAAAAAAAAAATCTGCTTTGTCAGTCATGTATCTTTCGATACATGATTGCCTAAGCGAGTATCACGTATGGCACATAACTGACTGACTGATATAATGCTTATGGTGGAAGATGCGTTAATAAAAAAAAAGAAACCTTTAGCAGTAATAAATTTCTAACACTTTTCCAATTACGCCAGTGCTGTTGGGTACCCCAAAGCAGTGTAATGGTTAGCAAGCTAAGTAATTAGTTCGATCCTCACTGGGTGGTATATGATTTCGGCCTTGTGCCTCATTTAAGCTACACTTGGAAAATCAATGTGTTTTTGTTGTTGCTTTTTTTCTGTTCAATTAACAGGAAAGTTTTACCGAAAACGCATCAGCATTAAAATTTCCCTGACTATCTTTCTTGTTTGCAATCATCATCATTCTGATGGCTGACATTGCCAATCAAAAATGACCTCGGCCAACTCACTCTATCTACCACTGACCATAGCAAAAGAAATCGAACTCACAATCAATCCGGAAGTATTTATTAAATTAAACCTCGTTCTGAAAATCAAGAACTTATTCACTTCCTCTGGCTTAGTCTATGTCACTCAGACCTTCTCATGACTTTATCTTTTTACGCAATGTTAATTTCCTTTATCTTTTCGATTTTCTTGACTCTTCAATTTTCCTTATATTTCCAAATCAACATTAGTTTCTTTTTTTTTTTTTCAAGTTTCCCCTTCTTCTTTTTCCTTCATTGCATTCTGTGTTTCTTATATTAGTTCTGTTCTTTTCTTTATTTTATTAGTAGTTTTTAGTTAGTTTTTTTTTGTTTGTTTGTTTCTTCGGTTGTTCTTTGTAACATTTTCTTCTATTTATTTTGCTTTTCTTTTTTTTTTCGTTCATTCTTTCGCAATGTCTTTCTTCTTTAGAAATGTACTTTAAATTCTTTTTTTTTTTTTTACTTTTCATTAACCCAATTTTTTATTTGTTCTTTCATTTTTCTAACGAACTTTCGTTGATTCAGTTCATGTTTTTTCTTTCGTTATTTGCTACACTCTTTCTTGTCGATTTTTTTTCTTTCTTTCTTTTTTCTTTTTTTTCTTTTATCACTCTCTCCAATTCGTTTCTTTCTTTTCATTTCCATTCACTTGCTCTATAATTTTTAATCTTGGCTACTTTAATTTTTGGATGGATAAATTTTCTTTTTTATAACGAGGTTTAATATTTTCGTTTCGTTTGATTTCTTAGGTTTCTTTTTTTTTTTGTTTATCTGTTTGTTTGTTTGTTTATTTATTTCTCATTTGTTCTTTCTTCCTTTCTTTCTTTCTTTCTTTCTTTCTTTCTATCTTTCTTTCTTTCTTTCTTTCTTTCTTTCTTTCTTTTGTCTTTTCTCTTTTATTTCTTCCCACATTTGTTCTTTCTTTCTTTCTTTCTTTCTTTCTTTCTTTCTTTCTTTCTTTCTTTCTATTTTTCTTTCTTTCTTTCTTTTGTCCTTTTGTCCTTTTTTGTCCATTCGTTCTTTCTTTTGTCCTTTCTCTTTTATTTCTCCCAACATTTGTTTGTTTGTTTGTTTGTTTGTTTGTTTGTTTGTTTGTTTGTTTCTTTCTTTCTTTCTTTCTTTCTTTCTTTCTTTCATCTCTCTCTCAAAGGTTTTCTTTCTCAATCTCTACCTTACTTCATTTCCCTCTACTTTTCTTTATCGATATTACCCGTTAATTTCTTCCCTTTTACTAATATCCTTATCTCAATGTTCCATTTCTTCAGCCTTACAATCCCTACATTTGTCATATGTTGTTCGTATTCTTCTTTCCTACGGCACATATTCCTTTTCGTCCTTCGAAGTGAATTTATTTTAAAATTATACTATTTATTTCGAAATCTTTTTCTTTCTTTCTTCTTTCATATACTTGAACTTCTGCGACTTTAAATTGTCAATAGTCTTAACCTCGTTATTTCAACAGTGATGTGTATATCCATTCCTCGTTCATTCTAGCTGCCTTTTCTATTCTGGAATTTATTTGTCATTTGATTTTTCCCTTGCATGGAATTACACCGATCAATAAATTATTCCTTCGCTTTTAATGTTGTCGATAAATCTCATTCAACATTCATTTCCTGAACTGCTAGTTTCTTGCAGTTTTTTTTCTCTACATGAAAATTGTTTCGACGTCTTCTTTTGTTCAAACTCAACATTTTTCGATATATTTTTCGATTACACTTCTTTCCATGACTTCTGCTCTTTCAATTAAATTTCTTTAAATGTCCCCTCTTCACATTAGTATCTTTCGATAACGTAGTTCACACAATATTTCTTATCTTCTTATTTTCTATTAAGGTCCATACGATATCTTTTTCTCCCTTCCTTACATTTCTTTAGATATCCCCTCTTCACATTAGTCTCCTTTCATAACTTCTGTTCACACAACATTTATTATCTTCTTTTTTTCATGACGGTTCATCCGGCATCTTTTGCTCTCTTCATTTCTTTAAATATCCTATCTTTATACTGCACTCTTACGATATCTTCATTTCTTATTACACTTCTTTAGCTTCTGTTAACATTACACTTCTTTTTTATATCTTCAGTTCTTTCGGTCTCTTCTTTCTCCATTACCTTACAGTCGATGGTTTCTTTTTCATTACATTTGTGTAGACATCATCTATTCATATTGTACTGTCTCGATGACGCCTCTTTATACAACACTATTTCGTTGTCATCTTTTTACGTTACGGTCGATCCGATGTTGTCTTCTCTTTTTATATCACCTCTTTACATTCCACGCTTTAGATAACGTATGTTCACACAGTACTTCCATTACGGCACGTCCAACATCTTTGTTTTCATCTCAATTAAATTTCTTTATATATTGTCTCTTCACATTACTGCCTTTGATAACGTCTGTTCACAAACACTTCTTTCATGATTTCCTTTTACACTACGGTTACGAAGTCTCAATTTCTTATTATACATCATAACACCCCCAAAACGAAATTCGTCTCTATCAATCGTCTAAGAGAAGCATTTTTATCTTCCATTAGCGTAACTGATGCTAACCTCCAGGAAAGTAAACCATTACGCCTTCACGGCATAACATTTTCCACTAACATGAAGTGGAAAGATTATATTGAATCCATTGCTATATCTACTGCTAGGAAAGTTGATTCAATACGTCGCGCTAGACAATTTTTATATTCTACATATTTATAAGTCTACCATTCGACCAAGCTTTGAATATTGTTGCCAGATATGGTCTGCTGCCCTTGATATATATTTAGAGAACCTGGGTAAAATCTAAAGAAGGATCTGCGCTGTCACAAGACTTGACCTGGCGTCGCAGCTTTAATCACTTTCCCAGCTTGCGTCTGCCTCATCTATAAATACTTTTAAATGAATCTACTTCTTCCCTACACATTGGAAATGTAAGCGCAGTACTAGATTAGCGTCAAGTTCTCATTATTTCAAGTTTGAATCGTTAAATGTAACCGTAAGTTCTATGGTGACAGTTTCTTCTATTTCAATTCTCATTTGTGGAACTCTCTTCGAGCTTCTTAACTCCCAGTCAACGTTGATCTGCAAAAATTGAAATGCAATGTCAATCGATATCGTCTGACATTTTAGTCTCTGTTCTATTGTTCTCCCTCCACATCAATATTTAAATTTATTTTTCTAACGATTTTCGTCTTAGCGGCTTTCTTTCCTTGCTTCGGGTGAAATAATTAAAAACGAGGTGTCTGTCCAACACTATACTTCTTTTTCTAACTTCTCTTCTCATTAGAACTATTTCGTTATGTTCTTTTTCTATGACGCTCAATTCAATGGCTTCTTCTTTTTACATTACACTTCTGTAGATGACTTCTCTTCATGAAGATCAACGTTTACTAGATCAGCCAGAAGAGAGTTCTACAAGCGTGACGTGCGGTGGAAGAAACTGTTAGTATAGAACATAGGGTTACATCAAGCCATTTCAATTTTAAAATGACGAGTCCTTGACGCAAATTTAGTACTGCACTTAAACTGATAAAGTCGATGTAAGAAAGTCCATGAGAACAATTAAAATGAAAATATTGATAGAAAAGGCAGAAGGAAGAGACATTGCGGCGGTTGGGAAGTTACTGAAGCCGAGATGACAGGTCAGCAATATATACATTGCAGATTCTTCTTTAGATTTTATTAAGAATCTCTAATTATATAATGGGAGGCACGGTGGAGTAATGGATAGCGGCTTGGATAGAGGAATCGGAGAGCCGAGTTCGAATTCCAGTCAAATCTATTACATTCACTTACATGCTACTAACGATGGGAAAGGTATGAATCCTCTTCTTCTCCCACTACCCAGCTATGGACAGATAGCAGGACAGATTGAGTTCTATAGCCTAGGACGGCGACTAAGCGTGTATCCCGTATAGCCCATAAGTGACTGAAATATGTAATAGGAGCACCGACCATTTTTCTTGCTTCACTTGTTTTTTCTCGCTCTTTCTTTTTTTTATTGCTTTTTTGCAGCTCTTCATATTTTATGTTGTTTCTAACTAAATGTTCTGAATTTATTTTTATCTTTTCTGTCTGCCCAATTTAATTTCCTGGTTCTTTTACTTCTTTTTTTTATCCTTGCTTGATTTTGCATTTTATTTTCGATTTTCCTTCCATTCTTGACTTACTACTTTTTATGTTCTTCACTCTCATTCTTTTCATTTCATTCATACATATATATATATATATATATATATATATATATATATATATATATATATATATATATATTACTGAGAGTAAAAAACAAGAACAAAATCTATTCCATACTCTGAGGATGTCTGTAGGAACAGACGAAAGCTTGTAAAAATAATAAGAACTTATGCAACAGAAATTTATAAAAACAAGAATCTTTTCATTCATAAACAGGTTAGGGTTTTTTTGTATATTATTTGAATTGTTTATGACGATGGATTTCTCGCCAATTAAAAATTGTTTTTGTATGAATAATTCATGAATATATATATATATATATATATATATATATATATATATATATATATCGTAACTGGATCGACTATCGGCCTTTTAGCAATACCATTATCAACTTGAATCGAATATTTACATAATTTTAAAGATCTCAAAGCCTTTCCGTGTCAAATGTTCCATGAGATTGAAGGAGTGGCGGAAGGTAGCTCTCGATAGGAGGAATAAAAGCAGATGAAAGGAGGGAAGAAAGAAAGGAAGACGGTGATTGATAGAGAAGCGTAGGAACGTTTGCCGACATCTTTTCTTCACTTAAGTGCTCTTGTCAGGTGGGAGAGACAAAGATAGAAAGAGATAGATAAAGAGAGAGAGAGAGAGAGAGAGAGAGAGAGACCTGGGCATGAGCTTAAAAACACATTGCACTCATCGATGTGGCCTTGCACCAAAGTTGGCATTATCTAACAAATATTACGAATAAACATGCAAATAAACTTGAAATGAAACGTACATAGACTTAACAAGAAAGAATCAGCCGGGATATATTCAGCATTGGATGAAAAAAGAACTGCGAAGGCTAAAAGTCATTTTTAAACTTACATGATTTTCTCTCTCACAAGTATATTTTGACATAAACACACCTATATTTATTTTCTTAAGCAATTTACTCCAAGCAATGGCGGGCGTGCCATTAGCTCACAAGGGATTACAGAGTGTAGAGAACAAGAGTAAAAAGCCGTGTTTGAGGAGAGAATAGAGAGAAGGACACGGAACAAGCTCAGATGTCGATTGATATTATACTTGAATATTTGAAGATTATAGTCATCGGCGAAGCAAGTAAGGGGAAGGGAGTTCCACAGACGGGAAGTGCGAGAAAAAAAGCTGTTTGAGTAGAAGAGACGGTTGTCATGTTGGTAAAGAAATTGAGAAGGTCTAAAGCAATAGAAGCTGACGGCCATCATATTTGACATGGACAGAAAGGAGCGTGAAAGACGAGGCATATTTTTATCCCGCAGTAGACCAGTTGCCATCCAAGGCTATACAACCCGGTCAGTCCTGCTATTTACCCATACCTGGGGTGGGGTAGAAGAAAAGAATTCATACCTTTCCCAAGTGTATTAGCACGTCAGTCAGTTATGTGCCATGCGTGATACACGCTTAGGCGATCATGTATCTTTCGATACATGGCAGGCGAGGCAGATTTTTTCCCGCAGTAGGTTATCATTTATGTCTGCGGTAGACCAGTTACCATCCAAAGCTATACAACTTGGTATGACCTGCTATTTACCTATAGCTGGTGGGTGGGTGATTGGTAGAAGAATATGATTCATACCTTTCTTAAGGTTATTAGCACGTAAGTGAATGTAATGGATTCGACTGGAATTCGAACTCGGCTCTCCGATTCCACAATTCGAGCCACTATCCATTTTAAGCTACTAAGCAAAAGGTTAGGAAGTAAAATTCCATCAAAAAACAAAAAAACAAAAAACGGTTAATAGCGTAAAATGACTATTTTTCTTATAAACCATTTAAGCGAATGATTTTATAAATTTCAACTGACAACAACACAAGCTGTCCAGCCTATGAACGTCGAATATTTGCAGTATGGAAACGGAAGATCTCACAAGTTCAAATAGCACCTAGCTACCTATTTATAAGTCCTAAGCGAGTTTAGAAGGCTGAATTTGTTTTTCTACCAACGCAAAATATGTGATCACATGAGGGTAATTGTTAGACATTTTCATGACGGTCGTCTTCGTGTATAGAATCCAGAGGTTGGCAGTGAATATTTCGGAGACAGTAGGAAAGCGTAGTTCAGGTTTGCAGTGGATATTGTAGCAGAGCATAGTTCTTCCTTCTGGTATCTTCGCCTGACAAGTTGACACTGGTCATTTCGGTAGGTAAACAAAGATGGCCGCCTTTATACATCTTCAGCGGCTCCTGATTGGTTAATCTTCTATTGGTAGACTATAAAGGGAAATAAGTCATTCTGACTCGCTCACTAGTTACATAACATATACACAAAAAACTGTAACAGTAATTGCTTCGAACCATACTGTTTCGAACAAGACCCAGCTTCAAATCTCAGATATGTTCGATTTGTCTGTCCTAGCTGGAGAAGTTCTAAAATTCACGTAGACATTTAGATTTGCCGAACTTCGGCAATTTTTGTGTGTGTTACTGAGAGTGTTCTGCTTACTCCACACATTTTATCCTCTGAATAGTTCGTTTTGAGCTATGGTAAACCATATTAGCCCAGGATATTTTAGTTGATATTCGTACTCATATCTATATGCTTCGAAATGTATCATGATATCCTTTACCCGTCGGGTGTCACGACTTCGAACTTGCATTGAATACTTGATCCATTTTTAATAATTTCATCACAAGCAAGGCGATAAAACCACTAAGATGCAAGGACTTATTGAGACTGAAAGAAACAGAGTGGACATTATAAGAACAAAGAGACAGTTTGGCCTTGCATTAAAATATTTGAAGGTCGAAGTTGATAGAAAAGGAGGGAGCCGTAAAAGAGTTACACAAGCGAGAAGTACGGGAGAATAAACTGTTAGCGTAGAACTTACGGTTACAAGT